TTTTTGGTTTATTTTTGGTACATGCCCAATTCACTTCTGAACGCTGTAAAGGCCTTTGCAGTGAGGTGACTAGAAGTTGCTACCGCTGGCAAATATCCAGGTTGTGGCTGTGGAAGAGGTTAGTGGGATTATCATCCACTTTTTAAAAAAAACAGGTATTCACAACAAATCAGTAATAATTAATCTCCTTAACAAGGGCCAAAGAGCCACTCCTCTGTCCCTATGAGACATGCTGCCGTGACCTCTCTCCGGGACTCTGAGAAGCACAGGCCCACAGAGCCAAGGTGAACAGCCAGTCCAAAGTTCTCGGAACAGAATTGTGGAGGAAGCACATGGAAAGCCGGTCTCACGGTGTATTCTTTAAGGGATTAAATTTTATGGTATAGTCTGCACCACCTCTATGGAGCAGTAGTTGTCATAAAACACTAGGGTACTGCAATAGAATACAACGATGGAACTAAAAGGGTTTGAAGAAATGAGGAAGCCCATCATAACAATCTCTGGTTTAAGACAAAGATCTTTCAGAAGTCTGCATCATTCACAGAAGAAATTCAGGCAGAAACTAACACAACAAGATTGCAGAGAACTCACACAACCAAAAGAAGACAGGAAACTTAATTTAGATAAGTCATTTGGGAAAAGTTATAACAGCTTGAGACCAACAACTAGCAGGGAAACGGAACTGATTATCTTAAAACACTGCCTCCTTCTTCACTGAATTATTTTCTTCTCATCTTGCCCTGACATTCCCTTATTTTTTTCTTGGCATCAGCCATGCAAAGTCCATGCCAGAGCTGTGATGGTCCCTGCCAGAACATTCCCTGTTGCAGGGCAGCACTTGCAACTCAATTTTAACTTTGAAGCAGTAAAATAATAATAAAAAAAAATATAGCTAAGTATTAATGTATGATTGAAGTCTGTAGTCAGCTGTCTTGAATTACACTAGAAGTTTTTATTGTTGTGGGTGTGAATCATCTAAATCTAGTATTTCTCTCAAGCAGTGTTGCAATCTGAGCCATCACTAGCAAGCTTTGTAAAATTTTCAAAGAGAAAAAAAAAAAGCACTTCCTCTTGCAGACTGCAAGTGAATGGTTTTAGGCGACTATAATAATGATTATCTGTGGGTTTGCTGAGGAACACCTCAGCTTGGCAGTCTGCAGCTTAGATTGCAAGTTCCATCTTCAGCAGAATTAATTTAAGTGCGCACTTTCAGTAGATGGATTATGTCAGTACAGCGGGACTTATTTTAGGTGGATTTTTTGCATGGTCAATAGACACTGGTGTTTTATGACAATGTGTCTTTTGCTGCAGTGCAGTGCAACCGCTGACTGCAGGTGATGTTTTATCCAAACGGTACCACTGTTCTCAAAATACCTAATGCCTACCAAACTCAGAGGAACAGATTCACGTTCCACAGCTTACGAATTGTGTCAGGACATCAGGAATATACAAATGCCATGAAAGAAAAGAAAAAAGGAAGCTATAGAGAGCAAAAACAACTGAAGAACTGATGCTGCTGAA